CTGTCACCCAGACTGGAGTGCAGTGGCTGCTCCCGGCCACCACAGCCTCAACCTGCTGGGCTCTGGTGATCCTTCCGCCTCAGCCTTCCAAGTAGCTGGAACTACAGGCACACGCTACCACACCTGGCTAATTTTTTGATTTTTATTGTAGAGATGAGGTCTCACCAAGTTGCCCAGGCCGGTCTCAAGCCCACGAGCTCAGGCAGTCCACTCACCTCAGCCTCCCAAGGCGCGGGATTACAGGCTGAGCCACTGAGCCCGGCTTATTTTCTTATTCTAAATTTAAGATTATCTTCTGTTTCCTCCAGGGAGTATATTACCAAATTGGTGATGTTGTTTCTGTGATTGATGAACAGGATGGAAAGCCCTACTATGCTCAGATCAGGGGTTTTATTCAGGACCAGTACTGCGAGAAGAGTGCGGCGCTGACGTGGCTCATTCCCACTCTCTCTAGCCCCCGAGACCAATTTGACCCTGCCTCCTATATCATAGGTGAGTAAAAAGAACTTACTAGTTTGTTTGGGCTGCCGTGACAAAATCCCATGGACTGGATGAATCGCTTAAACAACAGAAATTTGTTTTCTCATGGTTCTGGCGACTGAAGTTCTGTTTCTGATGGAGACTCTCTTCCTGGCTGCCTTCTTGCTGCGTCCTCACGTGGCTCTTTTTTCTGTACGTGTATGTGGAGAGAGCTGTCTGGTTTCTTTTATAAGGACACCAGTCCTGTCAGATCTTACAGCTTCATTTAGCCAAATACCATCACATAGATTAGATCTTTAGCATATAAGTTGGGACACAATTCAGTCCATAACAACAACAAAAAAAGCATAAGCATTATGAAGTACAGAAAAGTAGAGAGCTTTATAGAAAACATGAGAGACATTTCATATAGCTGAAGTTTGAGTGCTATCAGTTGTTTTGATTTAGAGCAATGTGCACCTACTAAAAAGTGAGTGACCCAGGGTTAAAATAATGTATTGCCCAGGAACTAGGTTATTTAGGTAACTTAAAAAAATCTGTTTAAAAATAATTCCTGGCCGGGCTTGGTGGCTTAGCCTGTAATCCCAGCACTTTGGGAGGCCAAGGCGAGTGGATTGTCTAAACCCATGGGTTCAAGACCCACCTGGGCAACTTGGCAAGACCTCATCTCTACAATAAATAAAAATAATTAGCTGGGCGTGATAGCACACACCTGTAGTTCTGGCTACTTGGAAGGCTGAGGTGGAAGAATCGCCGGAGCCCAGCAGGTCGAGGCTG